TCACCAGAACACAAACAGGGCTGGAGTCCGCCCCAGGGCAAGGGATGGGAGACCCTGCCTCTCCCATGCTGCCATCACAGGCTGCCCAAAGGCCTGCCATAGGCCACGGCGGTGGGTCATGCCTTCCTCGCTGTTCTTGGTGTAGGCCCAGATGGGCACATTCTGCAGCTTCTTTGAGTGGCAACACTGTCCCCTGGACTACATGGTCCCTTCTGCCCCCTGAAGCATTCCTGGGGGCTCTAATATCCCCGTTTTCCCCTTTTTGCTCTCCCAAACCAACAGGTCAGTAGAGGAAGTCATTGGGATCCCTGAGAAGACCTCAGTTACTGGAGCTGCAATCTGGGGAGCACCTGGGACTTCGGCTTAAATGGCATCTGGGTCTCACTGCCCAGCACAGACACCCTCCACTACCTCCAGCAGGACTTCAACATCCCACCACCACACAGCCCACAGTTTCCCAAGCAGGACAGCCCAGGATGGTGGTGTCAGGCTGCATCTCAGCCCTTGCCAGATGCGGTTACAAGAGGGGCAGGGCAGATGGGGGCAGAGGAAGCCTGGACAGCCTGCGAACGCAGAAGGAAAAGGGAATTCAGTGCAGCACAGAGCCCCTGGGCCTCACCATGAATCACCAGCTAGAGGTGGGGGTCGCTCAGACGTCACGGCACAACGCCAGCGTCTCGCAGAAAGCACTGCTGTGATGTGCCTGCCATGGGGCCGCGAGGCAGACGCATGGGAAAGCAGCTCACGCACATGCAGTAAATTAGGATGTTGCACGTGCATGGAGGCCGCACTGCACTGCGTGGGGTGACTACCCATGGCACACGTGGTAAATCCAAGACTGCCACATGCTCAAGGGGCAAATTCCCCTTGGAGAGGGGCAGCAGCATGCGTGAGCAGTGACTCGAGGTGATCTACACGGAGGCAAAGCAATGCAAGAGCCTTCCCTGTAAATCAGGACATGCTGCGCATGGGTGGAGAGAGCACACGGAGTGCAGGCACTGAAACGAGACACGCTGTGAATCTGCAGCGAGGTAGCCCCTAACACCTGCAGTAAATCAGGCCATGCTGTGCATGCGTGGAGAGGCCGCAATGCTGCATGCAGGCAGTAAATCACAGCAAGGCGTGCGTGCGCAGCGAGGCCACCCCATGCAGCAACAGTGAGAGAGGACGCACGTGTGCAGGGAGCCCCTGGGTCCCATGCAGGCACAGATGGGGACTTGCTGTGTGCTGCCATTTAATGGAGAAAAATCCAGTGTGCATATGCTTATCCTGGAAACGAAGAGTTGTAGCTGTGCAGGTCACCAGGCTGAGTGTGACGTGAAGGACGGAGATCGCCTGAGGCAGGACCACCAGACGAGGACAGATGTTGGATGTGCAAGATGAGGGTCAACCAGGAGGTGCTGCACGCGACTGGGGAGGAAGGGAGCAAGGTCACTGCACTGTACAGGAAGGACTGGATTCAGGATAACCTGGATGGGGCTCCAGTAGTGAACAAATGCAGCAGATGTGCCTCCCACATCCAGGAAAGGGAAAAGAGGGATTGAAACATACCCTTCTGAGGTCTGGGGTTTTTTGAAGGAAATCCAGATTCAAAAGAGGAAGGCAAATGGAAACATAATTTATCACCATGTCTCAGTGTAACAGAATGATTTTTCTTGGACAAGGTGATGCAGCACATTTAGGCTGGTTGGATTCAAGGACGGGGTTTCATTTGCCACCCAGTATGAGCCAGTTCCCAGCGCTGGCAGTCATGGGTATGGATATCGCGGAGGAGGAACCAGCAAATCAAGGAAATGATGGGTTGTATGAAAGGGGTGTCTCTGAGCCAAGAGATGCTTCCAGCATTGTTCTTCTGCCCCGGTCCTGGGATGAGCCCACTGATGTTAACAGCAAGCAGCGCAGGACTGGGAACGTGGTGTCATCAGGCCTGGGATGCATTTTTGGGAGGGACGCAGCCATTGGCAAGGCACTGGGAAGATCTCACCCAGAAGATCTGCCCAAGTATGCTGGTTTGGAGACACTGCTCCAAAACCAGGCACAGAAAAGGAGAGAACTGCTCACAGGTCTAGACTGAAAATTAGGTGGAAGCATCCAAGCATGAATGTTTTAGGACAATTTTCAAACGGGGCACTGGGAGCAAGTAACTGGTTTGCGACCGTGCTGGGGAAGCATGCCGAAGGGACGGGGTGGGGGTGGTCTCCAAGTTAGGAGTTGAAACTTGCCCCTTGTGTCAAACATGTTGGTCTTCACGAGCAGAGTTGAAAGGAGGCCTTCAGCTGGGCCATGTGTGTGCCACATGCACGCGCGCATGCTACATGTGTGCTACTCCGCACGTTTTGCTGGTAGCCTGCAGGGATCGGGAACAAATTTCTTTGCTATAACCTTTGCAGCTGAGCTGCTGCTGGGTTATTCGGTCCTGCTGCAGATGGCCGTGGTCGAAGACAGAACACGAGGCGCCGTGTTTTTTCAGAGATACTCAGGCAACTTGGGCGTCGCTTCTAGGGCTGGGGTTTTAAACTAATCACGAGGCTTGGGCTTAAGGGACCGTCTCCAGGCCAGAGGGGCAGGGAGGGGGCATGGATGGTGGATACACACGTCTGCAGAGAGTTTTACCCAGTCCTGCAAGGATCAGTTGCTGGTGAAGCTCTCCAGCCTACGATGGAGATGGCTGCCCTAATGGCTTGTGCTAGGGCGGGTGATGAGGCTGATGTCAGGCTAGAGGCTAACTCAAGCACTTTGTTTCCAGCAGGGGGGAGGCATTCGGGACCACGGCAGAGTTTGAACAAGCACACCCCAGCTTCCAAGGAGGGCAAGCTCAAATTTTGCCCTGCATCAGCCTTTCCCCCCTCTCGGTTGCCCTCCTGCAAGAATTCACCTTTTGGCCAGCAGAGCCCTGTGCAGGAGTAAGCGCAGCCCCTGGCTGGCCCCTGACCAGGCAGAGCAGCACAGGGCTCAGGGGCCAGGCCAGCTCAGCCCTGATCGCCATACAAGGGCACATTTCCAGCAGTGCTAATCCAATTACAAAACAAACTTCCTTCCTTCATTATCGGGGCCTGCAGCATGCTCAAACAGCTTGGCAATTACAGCGAGGGACTGGAGACCAGGCAATGAATGACAGCTCTTCCGCGTGCAGGGAGGAGGGGCAGAGGCAGCCAGGAGGGTGCAAGGGATTGCCGGGACAAGTGGATTGGGAATTGCTACAGCCAAAGGTCTCTGGTCGACCTTCATGCTCCCCACAGGGTCAACCTCAAAGCCACACCAGGTTGCTCTGGCCCTTGTCTCTGCTGGGGATTGGTGTCCTCATGAATGGGGACCCCAACCACCTCTCCTGCCCTGTCACCTGGCTTCCCCCCCCCTCATTTCCAAACACTCATTTCAGTCATGGGACAGCAGAAGGTAGCACTAAAACACCCTTACAAGGGAGATTCAATCCAAATATTCCGGGGAGCTCCCGATCAGCTCCCACCATAAACAGGGGTTGCAATGCCCCAGCCAGACCCAGAGTCATGTACTTTCCATGGGAAGCCCAAGATGAGGGCCCAGGAGCTGCCCCATTGGAGATCACATCCACCCCCTGACACGATGTCAAGTTAGGGCTATGGCTCTGTGTCCTGCACTCTGCTCCTACACCTTTCTTGTTGGACCTCCTCCACCGCGTAGGGCCCACATAGAGTTGGAGGCTCCACAGGGCTGGAGGTGTTGCCCTCAGGTTGCAGTGGATTTGCAGCCCTCTTCATCCCTGTGTCCAGTGCCTCCTGACAATGCTATGAAGAGGGGGAAAAAAAACCCTAGCTGGGCTTAGGGCAGTTCTGCTTCTCTCCAAAAAAAGCCTTTCTTGACTCTGCTCAATGCTAACACTGCTTGGAGCAGGAGGGCGGACCAGAGACCTCCTGAGGTCCCTTCCAACCCAAGTTATCATACAAGTGCAGCCAGCAGGTGAAAGGAAGTGGTCATTTCCCTTTATTCGGCATTGGTGAGGCCGCATCTGGATACTGTGCCCAGGTTTGGACCCCACGTACAAGGAGAGAGTCCTGCAGAGGGTCACTAGGATGGCCAGGGCTGAGGAACATGGTGTACAAGGAGATGCTCAAGGTGTTGGGCTTCTTTCACCTGGAGAAGAGAGGGCTGAGGGGAGATGCAATTGCCACAGGGAGGATGGAGAGTGGCTTAGCTGAAGCACTTGGACACAAGTCCAGCTCCAGGGCAGTCCTGCTTGTCCCTGACCGATTCTGGGGAGCTGGCACATTGCACAGAGGTCTCACCCCCCTTAGCGCTCAGCAGGGATGCCCCCGTGATGGAGCCAGGCTGTGTGGGCAGGATCTCACTGTAAGGCTACGAGCTTGCGGACACAGCCAGCGTTGGCAGTTTGCCCCCCACCATAGTTTTCAAGAAAAAAAATACCCCACCCCACAAGACGTGGGGAGGCTCTCCTGGGCCTCCGTTCCCTGGCTGCATGACAGACCAGAGAAGCCTCTGCTTTGCCAGCCACAGCCGCGAAGAAAGCAGCATGTCCCCTGGGACCAGCTCTGCACTGGAGCCACCAGGGCACAGCAGGGCTGCTAGAGGCTCTTGAAACCTTTTAAATGCAGCGAGGACATCCCAAGAGTGTCTCTACAGATTTCTGCATCTCCAGGCCTTTCTGCGGGCTCTGGCGTGGCACTGCTGGGAGAAAAACCCTGCAGCTAGAGCTGCCTCTGTCTCTGCCGGACAAGAAGCCTCCTTGGGATGGAGAGAAGCAGCGGGGGAGCTGCCAGCAGCCAAGCAGGGCTGTAAGGAGACACCGGGCACACGATGAGCTCCAACTGCTGCCTTTTAAGGAGCGGCAGCGGCTGAGGCATCCTGGAATAAACCCACAGTTTCAGTAGGCTCCCAACCACGGCATGCGCCCAGGGACCACACTGGCCATGCCTGACAGTCACAAAGCCG